TGCATTCGTGGGACCTCCGTGTGTGTGTACAGTGAGCAGTGTGCACTGCAGAGAGGCTGTGGATGTCCTGCTGGAGACAGGGTGCAGTGAGGGAAAGCCCTCCGTCCTGCTGGTCTGTCTATGAAAGTTCTAGAAAAGAGCCTTTCCAAGGCAGGTTGAGATGGCTTGGTGAGCTGGGATATAAGCATTTTTTTTCAAGCAGAGTTTATATTTATTTATATGTCTTATTGAAGAAAACTGAAGTCAGAAAAATAAGTGTACAGAGGGACATGGGCAGATGATGATCCCGTAAGATTAAGAAGACATAATAGTTATTTGGTGCTTCCTGTGGTAGGCATTATGTTTGTATTAGCTCGTTTAACTCTCAACCACAGGCCTTTGATGTAGAAACTGTTATTATCCCTGTTTTACAGATGGGTGAACTGAGGCTCAAAGTGACTCAGGTCGCTTGCCCGGGTCAGGGAGCCTGGTTCCAGATGCTTGTTTGGGGTGGCAGGGGGAACGGGGGCCACGATGGCCGAGGTGCAAGGAGGGCGAGGGTGCAACGAGGGTGTGCTGGTGGGGCTGGGCTTGATGCACGCAGGGACTCGCAGGCCCAGTAGAGCTTGAGTATTGGCAGTCAGCTGCCATCCTGCCTCCGAGGGAGGCCAAGGGAGGCCGGACGGCACTGGGGGGGCAGCGCTGTGTTTTAAACAGGACAAGCCTGAATTGGGGGAGATCAGGACCGTTAGGGGAGGATGGTTGTCACCCAGCACGCTTGTGTTTCTATGTGATGTGATTCCTGGGGTGTTGTATTTAGTTTTATTTTTTGAATTCTTCTCTTTTTTTTTAGGATTTGATTTTTAAGGATTTATTTATTTATTTAAGAGGGGGAGAGAAAGACAGACAGACAGTGTAGTAGGGGGAGGGACAGGGGGAGAGGGAGAGAGAGCCTCCAGCAGATTCCCTGCTGAGCTTGGAGCCCAACTCTGGGCTGGATCCTAGGACCCTGAGATCATGACCTGAGCCCAAATCCAGTCAAAGACTTAACCAACTAAGCCACCCAGGCACTCCCTAAGGATTTAATTTTAAGTTAAAAAATATATATATATATATATATTTCTTTCTTTCTTTCTTTCTTTCTCCCTCTCTCCCTCCCTCCCTCCCTCTCTTTTCTTTTTTCTTTCTTTTCTTTTCTTTTCTTTTCTTTTCTTTTCTTTTCTTTTCTTTTCTTTTCTTTTCTTTTCTTTTCTTTTCTTTCTTTCTCTATTCATTTATTCGTGAGAGGCACACACATACACAGAGGCAGAGACACAGAGGGAGAAGCAGGCTCCCTGCAGGGAACCCGGTGTGGGACTCCATCCCAGGACCACAAGATCGCGACCTGAACCAAAGGCAGATGCTCAACCACTGAGCCACCCAGGCACCCCTATATTTTTCCTAAGTAATCTCTATACCCAACGTGGGGCTGGAACTTTTGCAACCTGAGATCAAGAATCGTGAGCTCTACTGACTGAGCCACCTGGGTGCCCCACTCCTTGAATGTTCTAGATTTGAACATTGAGAAGTCAAAAGAACTTGAGCTAAAGTCAGAAGTGATGCAGAAACAATCCCCAAATGCATATGCTGTGATTTCATTTTTGGTGGCCTTATATTTCAGACACTAGTTGTTAGTTTAATTAGAAGCTCCTCTTTATTTGGGTCGTGTCACAGGTTGGGTCCTAAGGAAGCTGACTCTCAGAGGTCGATTATTGTACCAAGACGTTTATTAGGGAGTGTTCTTGGGATCCATGCCTCGGGAAGGGCAGGGAAGGGGAACAGGATTGGGCAGAGGGAGAAGCTGAGTTGCACTGTAGCCTCAGCTGTTCCCCAGGAAGCTTTGGGGCAGGATTAGCCTTTCTGTGTTGCCCCAGAATGGGGGGTTGGGGCCCCGGGGCTCCCTGGAGCTGCCCGGGTCCTCAGTGGATGCCAGCTGCCGCTGCCCCTGCCCTAGTAGAGGGCGTGCCCCGGGCCGGGCCGTGTGCGGGCCCTCTGCAGAAGGCCGGTAGCTGAGGGCCTTCACCTGGCACAGGTCCCAGCGGCTGGGTAACAGGACCTTCATTCCTAAGGGACATCTGGTTTGAGCATCACACTGCACACCACAGGGAGCAAGTTGTAGAATTTGACGGCCCTAAAAATATAGTTCCCATCATCATAGCAGAGAAAGCTGACCGGGGCCCAAACTGAAGCATTTCCTTATCAGCATTCCCAGTAACAGCTGAGTAAGAGACGCCCATGTGCTCAGTTTTCGATGAAGTAAGAGCTGTTTGATTTAATTTCTTATCTGTTATTACGTTTGGTTATAAACTTGGCGTTAAAATATAATGCCAAATATATAGGTACACCGTAATACTATTAGGAATGATTCACAGATAAATGGACCTGACCTTTAAAAGAATGACATTTATTACATAGTCTGCCCCCATTAAGTCATGGCTTTTCTGAGAAACAGTGTGACTTATTAAAAAGCCCTGGGTGGCTCAGTTAAGGGTCAGACTCTTTTGGTTTCTTGGTTTCGGCTCAGGTCATGATCTCAGGGTTGTGGGATTGAGCCCTGCATCAGGCTTCCAGTTGCTTGTCGGAGTCTGCTTGTCCTTATTCCTCTGCTGCTTCCCTCTGCCTCTCTCTCTCTCATACATAAATTTAGAAAATACATAAAATCTTAAAAAAAAAAAAAAAAGAGGGACACCTGGGTGGCTCAGTGGCTGACCATCTGCCTTTGGTCCAGGGCGTGATCCTGGAGTCCTGGGATCGAGTCCCACATCGGGCTCCCTGCATGGAGCCTGCTTCTGCCTCTGCCTGTGTCTGCCTCTCTCTCTGGGTCTCTCATGAATAAATAAATAAAATCTTTAAAAAATAATAATAATAAATAAAAATAATAAAATAAAATAAAGATTAAAAAGGAAAAAAGAGAGTGTGAGGGAACCTGTGTGCTAATCTGAGCTCTGCCATTTTGTAGCTATGAAAACACGGGCCAGCCCTGTAACTTTTTAGACATTTAATTTTTTCTCATATGTAAAGTGGGAGAGAGAATACGTATCTACATTAATTTACCATGTTGTGTCAAGTTGATACAAATAACTTTTTTTTTTTTTAAAGATTCATTTATTGGAGAGAAAGAGCACAGATGGGGAGGGGAGGGGTGAGAGAGAGAGAGAGAGAGAGAGAGAGAGAGAGAGAGAGAGAATCTGAAGCAGAGTCCCCACTGAGCGAGGAGCCTGGCTCAGGCCTTCCATCTGTCAACCCACAAGGTCACAACCTGTCAGGTGCTTAACTGACCGAGCCACCCGGGCGCCCCTATATCTTTAAACATTGAGGCCAAAACAAAAACAACAACAAAAACCCTAAAGGACTTTACAGAACATCTAGTTCAAACCTTGCGTGTTTCAAGTGAGAAAAGGGAGGCCTACAGGCCCCTGGGTGGCTCAGCGTCTGCCTTGGGCTCAGGGCATCACCCCGGGGTCCAGGGATCGAGTCCCACATCAGGTGCCCTGCAGGGAGCCTGTTTCTCCCTGTGTCTCTGCCTCTCTGTGTCTCTCATGAATAAATACATAAAATCTTAAAAAAAAATAAAAATAGAAAAAAAAAAGAAAAGGTAGGCCTAGCGGTCACATGGCCGAGCCCAGCTCCGCGAGTTCTTACCTAAAGATGTGCTTGCGCTTAGACGTGCTGGCGTTTGCCCAAGGAAGACGGGCCTCCTGGAAGCAGCGAGAAAGCTCGCTTGGTGGACTTGAGCTGGGAAAACATGAACGGGGGTGATGATGGTGCGAGTGCAGGTGGGGGCAGAGCCTGGCTCCCCGGGTCCGTGGCTGCTGTCATCCTGGAGCGTGGGCCCCTCCTGCCAGGGCCCTTGCCGCTCCCCGGCGCCTCTGCACCCCAGCACCCACCGCCTCCCCGGCTCCTCCGCAGGGGGAGGGGGGGCGTCCCTGGGAGGGGACCCAGCCCCATGGGGTCCTGACCCCATCTCGGAGGGCTCTGATCTTAGGCACGAGCCTTTACTCCTCATGTGCTTGGTTCCTCGTGTAAAACTGGGATAATGACACTCGTCCTGCTGATCTGTTGCGCTTGTTTCAGGGATCAAACGACATAATGGATGTGAAAACACTTTAGAAAGCACAAAACGCCCTACAAATGTCAAGTGTTAATATTATCCTCGTTACTCTCCTCCCCTGCCTCCCCTCCTGCCTCCGTGGCCTCCAGCCTCCCTCTCTGGCCTCCAGCCTTGCTGGCTTCCTGCCAGGAGTGCCTGACAAGTGGTTGCAATTAATTACTTGTTGAGAAGCTTTCTCTGAACCATGAAATGTCATTTGGGGAGCTGTTCTTGGACTCGGGGGAATCGGATTAGATTATTGGGAGTTGAAGAGGGAAACACTGAAAAGATGAAAGAACTACATTGGAAAGAAATGTTTTGTTGCCATTGATAATGGAAGTATTGGCCTGCAATGGTGACAAAAAGCATTTAAAGAAACTTTTTAAAAAAGATTTTATGTGGGATCCCTGGGTGGCGCAGCGGTTTGGCGCCTGCCTTTGGCCCAGGGCGCGATCCTGGAGACCCGGGGTCGAATCCCGCGTCGGGCTCCCGTTGCATGGAGCCTGCTTCTCCCTCTGCCTGTGTCTCTGCCTCTCTCTCTCTCTCTGTGACTATCATAAATAAATTTAAAAAAATATTAAAAAAAAAGATTTTATGTATTTATTCATGAGAGACAGAGAGAGGCAGAGACTCAAGCAGAGGGAGAAGCAGGCTCCTCGCAGGGAGCCCAATGCGGGACTCGATCCCAGGACACCAGGGTCACGTCCTGAGCCAAAGGCCGGTGCTCAACCGCTGAGCCGCCTGGGCATCCCCAGAAACTCTTCAGGACATCGGTGAGGGGGTGTGAGACCAGGAGGAGCTCGGGTGTCCCGGGTCTTTTCACCGGGGAGAAGTCCCTTGGGCGCGGCCCAGCTCACCTGCAGCCCCCTTCTGATGGGCTCCTCCCCCTCAGGCTCCCTGGCGTTGGGCAGGGGTGCTGTGTACACTTCGGAACCTGAAGTCAGAGTCGCTGAGAACAAACGTGAGTTGGGGCGGCTGTGGAAGGGGGAGGCCGGGCGGGCGGGAGCGGGTGCAGGCCCCCAGGGACTGGGCGAGCATCCAGAGCAGACTGAAGTTGGGGGCCGACTTCCCCTTTCCCGTTTGCTGCTGCTCCTTCCTCCGGTTGACATTTGTGTCCTCTGCAGCCGCCAAGTTGTCCTGCTCCTACTCTGGCTTCTCCTCTCCCCGCGTGGAGTGGAAGTTTGCCCAGGGGGACATCACCAGCCTCGTTTGCTATAACAACAAGATCACGGGTGAGTTCCCCCCACTTCCTTCCCGATGGCCTCGGTGGTGGAGGGTTGATGGGCCTGGATTCCCGGGGAGAGGTGCCCCCTGGGGCCCAGGTCCCGGAGCCTCTCCTGCCACCGCCGCCAGCTTCTCTGCGCTCTCCAGCTCATCCAGCTCATCCAGCCCCTCCTTCCTCTCCTGCCAGCTTCCTATGAGGACCGAGTTACCTTCTCGCACAGTGGCATCACTTTCCACTCTGTGACCCGGAAGGACACAGGGATGTATACTTGTATGGTCTCTGATGAAGGCGGCAACACCTACGGGGAGGTCACCGTCAAGCTCATTGTGCTTGGTATGTGCCACCCTTTTTCTGTATGGTCTTGGAGTTCGTGGCGTCCCTAACCCCTCCCTGGCTCTGCAAAGCTTTGGAGCTCGTCGATGGCGAGAACGCCCCCGGGTGGGGGGGATTCAGAGTCAGGGTGCTGGTGCCAGGAGGGAGGGGATGAGCCCCTGGGGTGGGGGAAGCTAAGGACATGGTAAGGAATGGAGGCCAGAGCTGATGGATGGGGGTGTCGGCAGTGTAGCCTCTAGGCAGCGCTCCTGACCTTGTGCTCGGCCCCTCCTGTCCCTTCACAGTACCTCCATCCAAGCCCACGGTCAACATCCCCTCCTCTGCCACCATCGGGAATCGGGCAGTGCTGACCTGCTCGGAGAAAGATGGCTCTCCCCCTTCTGAGTTCTACTGGTTCAAGGACGGGGTCCTGATGCCCACAGAGCCCAAGAGCAGCCGGGCCTTCAGCAACTCTTCCTATAGCCTGGATCACAAGACAGGGGAGCTGGTAGGGATGGGGTAGCGGGGAAAGCTGCGGGGGGCACGGGTCTGTAGAGCCCTTGAAGGTCGGGGAAGGAGAACAGCAACAAGGTGAATTTGGCATTAGGGTCAGGAGACAAAAGATGGGTGCTTGGACCCTCACTAGGAGGAGCACGGCGTAATGTATAGAACTGTTGAATCAAGGAACGTTGTACGTCTGGAAGCAGTGTGATCTTCTGTGTCAGCTACACTGCAATTAAAAACAAAAATGGAAAAAAAAAACAAAACAAAAATGGGGGGGGGCACCTGGCTGACTCAGTCAGTGGAGCGTGCGACCCGTGGTCTTGGGGTCATGAGTTCAAGCCCCACTGTCGGGGGTAGAGCTTACTTAAAAAAATGAAAATAGGTTCTTGGCTTCTTCTGGCACGAAGCCCATTTTCTTCCCTTCCGGGCTTTCTTCCCTCCAGATCTTCAATCCTGTGTCAGCTTTTGATACTGGAGAATACATTTGTCAGGCGCAGAATGGGTATGGGACACCCATGAGGTCAGAGGCGGTGCGCATGGAAGCTGGTGAGCAGGGGAGGACGTAGCAGGGGCTTGAGCTCAGCTGGGGTGAGGATCGGGGTCTGCTTGTCATCCTGGCTTTGGTGGTGGTGTCAGCAATGTGAGTGAACATTCAGAGGACTGACCTCTCGTTTGTGTCTCATAGCGGAGTTGAATGTGGGGGGCATCGTGGCAGCTGTCCTTGTCACACTCATTCTCCTTGGATTCTTGATTTTGGGCATCTGGTTCGCCTATAGACGAGGCTACTTTGACAGTGAGTACTTGCCCTCAAAGGCTCTCCTTTTTATCGTCCCCGTTTCAGGGCACGGTTCTTGGGTGCCATCTGAGTACTGACCTGATAGTGAGCCCACATGTGCAGGGGTTACCTCCCGGGTGAGCACCCCTTACCTACTGCGTGCTACTCCCCCCATCCCTCTGCGCCCAGCCCTCTTCCCTCCTGCTCACACTCATGGTCCCGTTTCTTCTCTTTCAGGAGCAAAGAAAGGGTGAGTGAGGTGCTGTCCTGGGGATCTCCGAGGTGGAGGCCATGGATGCGTGTGGTTTGAAGCTGAGATGGGCCCGGGGGAAGGGGTCGAAGGCAGAGGCAACCCTGGCTGGGCGGGCATATGGATTTCTACCTCTCCCTCTGCCCAGGGCCTTGCATTGGTCCTGCCTCCCTCGGCCCACACATCCCTACTGAGGACTCTGTGCTTCTGTGAGGTTCCCCGTGTGGCCTCTTGAGCTGGCAGGCAGGGGTTAGGGACAGCACTGGGGCCCTGAGCATCCCCGTCTTCTCGCTTATCTGCAGGACCTCCAGTAAGAAGGTGATTTACAGCCAGCCCGCCGCTCGCAGCGAGGTAAGCAAACCTCCTGGGCACTGGGCCCCCCCTGGGGGCTTATCAGCTGAAGGAGGGTGCAGAGGGTTGACCTGCGTGTTTTTATCTCCCCAGGGGGAGTTCAGGCAGACCTCGTCGTTCCTGGTGTGACCCTGGTCCGGCTCCTGTCCTGTCCCCCGCGCTTGCCTTACTCTGGTGCTACCAGACTGTGGCCCGTGATGTCTGTACTTCCGCAGGATGCCTTATGCGTCATCTAGCCCCCACCCGGGTCCCCACTTTTATCTTAGTTAGGATGTGTTTTTAAAGATACTGTCAGCTGTGTGCCCCTTCCTCCTGCATCCTTCCCTACCTCCTTTTGCCACTTGTGTAAAGCTTTCAGTCCCCGGCCCTGTGAGGGATCCAGCAGGGGTCCTGAGTGGCACCCGCTGACTTCCTTCCAAGTAGGTGGGTGAGGACTGGGGCACCAGGTGGCAGGCCCTCTCTGCCCCCTGTGTGTAGTGATCTTGAGCTCAGGCCCTCAGTCCTCTTCTCCTGTGCTGAGGCGGTACCAGCCATTCTAGAACAGAGCCTGGAGACCTGGAGACCGAGCAGGTGGTTCGGTGACAACCTCCAGTCCCTCCCGCTTCTGCAGCCCACTTTCTTCTGTCTTCCCACGGGAAGTGCCACTGGGATCCTCCCGCACCGTCCTGAGCACAACCAGACTGATACTGTGTCTGTAGAAAACAAGACAGAACAAAACACAAAAAAGACAAACAACAAACCCCAAACAGGAGCTTTCGCTACAGACAGCACGTGAGCTTCCAGGGGCCACGGAGTAGAGGAGTTTTTCAGGGAAGCTGGAGCGGATACTCAGGCCATCGGCCTTCCCTTGGCTGCAACACCTGGACGAACCCCTTGGAGAGGCCTCTGAGGGGCTGTGGGAACGTGGGTAATAGGTCTGAGCTCTTTGCTCTTTGCTGAGCGTGTGTGTGCATGCGTGTGTGTGCATGCGTGTGTCCAGGAAGACAAAATTACAGCCTGTCATGTGGTGTCTTAGCTCTGCCGAATTCGATCCAGTGTGTGTTGTTGGTGCTTCTGAGCTCTTTGGTGAGATTTCGTTGGCGTGTGTCTGTCTGTTGCTTGATGTTGCTGGAAACAAGAACTCGGTTTGTGAAAGCTTCTAGGTGGGGGAGGTGGGGGGAGCGGGGTGGAGAGGGGGATGAGGTGCCTTTGTACAAACAGAAGATGCCTGAAGCCCAGTTTCCCTGCAGCCTGGGCTTGGTCCTGGCTGCCCGGGCCACCCCAGCCTGGTTCCAGGCTCCAGGTGGTGCCTGAACTGCGATCCCTCAGTCTAGAGCCCTCAGGAGGATGGATCCCACCCAGCAAGAGGAGGAAGTGGATGCCCACCCTCCCGCCGCCGCCAACCGGCTGCATTAACAGACTTCTCCAAGGCTGTGGGGAAACTGCTCCAGAGCCTGAGGCAGGAGGATGCCTCTAAGCCTTTGGAAAACTTCTCGTAGTACAGTGGTCACCGCTAGTTTAAGCTGGTGGGAGCGGGGTGAGTTGCTGCTGTGGAAGGAGAAGATGCTCAGAGACCAGGTGGTGAGGCCGCCGGCATGGGAGGAAGCAGGAGGAAGCAAGGTGCACCTGCCTTTCATTGCCTTCCTCGCTCCACCTGGACCCTTTCTGCCTTTAAATTTCTGTCTCCCCATCTGCCACAGTCCCCCGGTCTATTTATTAACCAGCAAGACGGCAAATAAGGCGTTTTCTAGGGTTGATTTTTGCTTCTTTCTGTGGAGGACACTAAGCCCCACTTTGCCATGTTTTATTCCCTTTTCTGGAAAGCCCCAACAGAATCGAGTGGTCTATTAAGAATCCGGAAGAAAAACCCAAACCGACCAAACCATCAGTTAAGGGTCATGCTCCAATAAGAAAATAAATATTCCAGATGGAAATAAAATTTAATGAAACAATAAAAGTAGAAATTATGAAACGGTTCAGTAAGAATGAGATTTTTAAAAGTATGTTTCAGCTTTGGATCCTGCTTGGGAGATGGGGTGGGAGGGATGGAGCGAAAACCCCACAGGGAAGCAGAAGTGATTCAGCATTCCTTTGCCAAGGTGAATGGTTCCTCACTCCCTCAGTCACTTGGGGCGAGGAGGAGTCCTTTATTACCAGCCTTGGAATTCACCTCTGCAGCTTCCCACAGCCCCTTGGAGTTGGAAAACACCTTGTCTGTTTTCATCTTGAAATGTCAAAACTCATTTTTGTAATAAATGTTTATTTTTCACATTGAGTTTGTTTAAATCCTGAGGGTCTATGTCAAAAGAATAGGGACTTCCAGAGTTGTGTGGATATTCAAGATCTTCCTGATAGTCTTATTAAGAGATTTAGGTATCCTTGGACAGAGCCCGGTGTTTCTTAGGCCTACTGTTGGCCTGTGCTTCGATCGGAATGACTCAAAAAGAAAAAAAAGAAGAATTGGAATGACTCAAGTGGACATTTTATACATCGAAGTGACAATTGGGTGAAGCAGTTCTAGGAAGACGGGGGTTGTGAGATACAAACCTGGTGTGATTGGGGATAAAATGATTGTCAAGGATGTGTTCTGTCTTGAAGGTTCTACAGATTGGGGTACCCGGCTGGCTCAGTTGGAAGAGCAAGCAACTCTTAGTCGCAGGGTTGTGGGTTTGAGCCCCACATCTAGTGTAAAGATTACTTAAAATAATTTTTTAAAAGATTTTTTTAAAAAAGATTTTATTGTTTATTCATGAGAATACACACAGAGAGAGGCAGAGACAGGCAGAGGGAGAAGCAGGCTCCATGCAGGGACCCTGACATGAGACTCGATCCTGTGACTCCAAGATCAAGATCACGCCCTGGGCTGAAGGCAGGCACCAAACTGCTGAGCCACCCAGGAATCCCCAGATTACTTAAAATCTTAACAAACAAAAACAAAACAAAACAAACAAACAAAAAAAAAACCCACAGGTGCCTGGGTGGCTAAATTGGTTAAGCCTCCCAACTCTTGATCTCGGCTCAGGTCTTGATCTCAGGGTTGTGAGTTCAAGCCCTGCGTTGGGCTCCATGCTGGGTGTGGAGCCTACTTAAAAAAAGAAAACAAAAACAGGGCAGCCTCGGTGGCTCAGCGGTTTGGCACTGCCTTCAGCCTGGGGTGTGGTCCTGGAGACTCAGGGTCGCATCCCACATCGGGCTCCTTGCAGGGACCCTGCTTCTCCGTCTGCCTGTGTGTGTGTGTCTGCCTCTCTGTGTGTCTTTCATGAGTAAATAAAATCTTTAAAACAAAACCAAAGAACCCACAACAGAATGTACAGATGAAGGACAGGGGAGGAAAATAGGCTTGGTCCATTCCTTTTTTTTTTTTAATAATATTTTATTTATTTATTGAAGGGACAACTATGTTTTATGGAATAAAGAGACAACTTAAGGGGAATAAATGGAGAAAATAAAATTTTAAGGAAAGAAGTTCTGATTCTGTAGCTCCTCTGATTTATTACCCTTTTTATTTTGGTTGTAAATTTTTTTTTTTTACAATTTTAATTATTCATGAGAGAGAGGCAGGTACACAGGCAGAGGGAGGAGCAGGCTCCATGCAGGGAGCCGGATGCAGGACTCCATCCCAGGACCCTGGGATCACGCCCTGGGCTGAATGTAGACGCTCCACTGCTGAGCCACCCAGGCGTCCCTGGCTGTAAAAATCTAATATGAAAAGAAAATTCTTTTTCGAAGGGTAACTTGTTGAATGATTATTATCATCCATTAATTTACTGAGTGCTATTAATTTCTCCGGTCCACAGATGGGGAAAAGAGGCACAAATGCTAAGTAACTTGTCGAAATTCACAACCAGTAGTAGGCAAGTAGACGTTCTGGGATTCAAGAGAGCTGGGGAGAGAAGGTTCCTGAATGCAAGAGCAGCCAAAAAGAGGAGGAGCTGGAAACAAGTTCACTTTCTCTTTAAAGGTGTCTGTGTGGGTGTTCGGAGGGAGGACTTTGAAAGTAATGATGTCCACCTGGGTTTCCCCACCTCCTTAACTGAGAGTGTCACTTGAGTGGGCCTGCCATCCCAACAGGATCTACAGGACAGAGTGGCCTATGAGTGCCACCTTCTGGAATGAAGGATAAAGCCACTGCATTGTTTGCCAGTGACACAGGTGAAAACCAGAAGACATACATATCATATTTGTGGATGACAACGAGGAGGGCAGTGCCCTCAGCTGGCAGACTGAGAATTCAAATACTTCAATAGAACAAACATGGTTACCAGAGGGGAGGGGCGTGGGCGGTATTGGTGAGGTAAGTGAAGGGGATCAAGAGTTCACTTACCCACCCACCCCCCAAAAAAGTTCACTTACCCTGGGACACGGGGGAGGGGGGTGGGTGCTCAGCAGCTGAGCCCCTGTCTTCGGCCCAGGGCGGGATCCTGGGATCCTGAGATCCAGTCCCACATCAGGCTCCCCACAGAGAGCCTGCTTCTCCCTCTGCCTGGGTCTCTCATGAATAAATAAGTAAAATAAAAAAAAAGGGAATTGCCGAATCACTGTATTGTGTACCTGAAACTAATATAACACTGCATGCTAACTACACTGGAATTAAAACAAAAATCTCAATGAGAGTGATACACTCCATCTCCTAGACCAAAATTCAATAGTAGTAAGACTGCCTTTAGGTCCAAAAAGTCAACGGATCATTATCAAGATGAGAAAGATGTAGAACATCTAAAACTCAAGAGGCCATCTGCTGGTGGCATTAGACCCCCCCGTATCAGGTTGTTTAGGCGCCACACTGTAAGGTCTTGGACTACAGACCAACAGGAACCTGTTCATAGAAGCCGTATGGATGGTAAAGAGACTTAACTAGAAGAGTCAATGCCAAGCTCAGAGTCAAAGTCTCCAGGAAGACAAAATTATAGCCTGCAGATATTTATGGGTTTCTGTATGAATGGCCTCAAGGAAGAAAATTAGGACCAATGGATGGATGTCCAAAGAGGACACAATTCAGAATGTGCCCTTCAGAGCTCTCAGGAGGGTGTTGTGTACTGGAAAGACGGCCGGCTTTGGAGGCACAGACCTTGTTGTCAAACAGCCTTTGACGTTGCCAAAGTTTTCTGTCAGTGTCTTGTCGCCTAACAAATGGTGATAATACCTGCACTATGAAGTGTTTAAAAGCAAATGAGGCAAAACAAAACAAAACAAAACAAAACAAAAAAAAAACCAAAACAAAAAAACAAATGAGGCAAGATCTGGAAAGTGCTTCACGTCACCTCACATAAGACATGTCCATGAGAAAAAAAAAAAGAGCAAGCTGTCCATGATTGCTTTCAAACTGGACATCTTAGGCCAGGAGTTGGCAAACTTACAGTAAATAACCAGGGAATAATTTTTTATTTCTATTACATAAGTTTATTTAATAAAAAGAAAATAGAAAATTATTTCTGAAATTATTTTAAATATTTAAATTATTTTAAAATAATTAAATTATTTCTATTATTTCGAAAAATAGAAATTATTTCTATTACAAAAGTTTTTTTTAATAAAAAGGTTCAATAAGATGTATGTGACCTAATTTTTTTTTCGTGACCTAATTTTTATATTATTTTTTATTTATAAGATGCACTGTGGAGAGAAGACATGGAAGCAGGGATTTCTCTGCTTTATATTCTGGTTTTGTTGTTCATACTCTCTCAAAGGCTTCCACCAGGATGATAGCTTTTCCTACTATTATCGCCAGGCCAGTGTTACTCTGTCGCCCGCTGGCCACCACTTGCACGCGCTTGTCCATCACAAGATTCATAAAGAGGTCAAATCACAATATTCCTTAGACATAGCTGCTATCATTTAATTTCAAAAATAACTTCTTGGCCATGAATTTTTCCAACTCGGGGTGAGCGTCTACCCGGCAAGCTCAAAAATGCCTTCGAAGTGATTTTTTTATACTTTTAGACATACAGTCTCTAAACAACTTTACAGGCATAGCAAGAAAACCTCTGTAGGCCGTGAATGAACATGGCCACGTTCCATTAAAACTTCATTTATGGACACTGAAATGTGAATTTCACAATTTCCATATTCATGAAATAATGACCTTTTGATTTTTTTCAATCATTTAGATATGTAAAAACTATTCTTAGACCCGAGACTGCACAAAAACGTGTGAGAGGCCAACAGTTGGTATTTTACTCATAGTTGAAATTAAAAGAAAGCAGCTAACATCATTGTTTTCTAATTAAGTTATTTTATTTTATTATTTTTTTGAAATGATTTTTGATTACTTAGCCATTTATATATTTGCGAGAGAGAGAGAGAGAGAGCAAGAGAGAGCATGAGCATGCACAAAGGAGCAGAGGGAAAGAGAATCCCAAGCTCCATCTCAGGACCCAGAGATCATGAGTTGAAGTCAAGAGGATCACACCCTGGGCCGAAGGCAGATGCTCAACCGCTGAGCCACCCAGGCATCCCCGATTTTTAAAAAATTAATTTAATTTCACCTTATTTTTCATCGCTTGCTGTCTTAAATTGAATGCTGGCTCCCTGCCAATACTACCAAAATCACCTGTCAGCAAGGCGAAGCCTAGTGGATTGTCTGCTGTAGTTAGGGGGAGACTGACATTGAGAAAGTAGAGCCTGAGTGGGGGCGGGCAAAGGAGTCGCTTAAACTAAGTGATTTTGTGGAGGCCTTTGTAGGATGATGACTTAGGAAAAGCAGGTAACAGAGGGTTTCCTAACTACTCCTTCTCTGATGAGCCATTTTACTCTAACGAGGCTTAGTTGGATGTCTAGGTACTTGCAACTTCATCTTCTGGGCAGAGTTTTCTGCAGTAGTAAAGTCGGATAATGCAGACCTTCCTTGTAGACAAGCCACCTAATGTAGATGGTAAATGGTGAGGCTGTTCTTGAATCTAAGTGAGGTTTGGTGACGTGAGGTCTGGAGTCAACAACCAAGAAAAAATTATTTTTATTTCTTCATGAGAGACACAGACAGAGAGGCAGTGATATGGGAGAGCTGGGCTCTTGTCTCACGGAGTTAAAGAATGAATCTCAAAAAAAAAAAAAAAAAGAATGAATCTCACGGACACAGGAGAGTGAGCAAAGGGAAAGGAGTCTCTAGGTAAAGATACAGAGAGACCTCTCAGAAGTGAGAGGGGTCCCAGCAGGGTTGCCCCTGAGGGCATGTAGGGTTGGTCTTTTATTGGAAGCCTAATCAGGGAACCTAAATCCTTTTAACATTATTTACTGACATCACCATTGAGTAAGTACTAGTGATAACATCTTTAATGC